TATATATATATATATATATATATTCTTAGATTCAGATTATTTTTCAAAGAATGGTTACAACTTATTCTAGTATGATAAACAAAAAAAAGGAAAACTGAAAGTGAATAGTGTATTATCAATGCATTTTTAGTTAAGAGAATAAACTCATTTCTCTTCCTAGACTTGTAATTGCAATTTTTCTTCAGGCCAGATTAAATTTATGATTTAATTAATTCAGTGAAAAATTCATGATTCCGAATGAAAATGAAATTTCAACGAAGTGTAGTACCACAATTACATAACCATGTAGGTACGTATTGAGAACTTCCGAGAATCTGGCAGAGGAGGTATTAATATCACAAATGTATAAAACATTTACAATTTTTGAGCTCAGTGGTTTGAAATGCGCCTTTTCGATGAGCTGGTTGCAATTAGCTGTGTGGAGAAGAATTCTCGAACTACAACAGGAGAGGCGAAGCTTTATGTGTACCTCAGATGGAGTAAAGGCATGTCCAACTGTTTTATCAGACATTTATTTGGAGTTGTGATTCCACAAGGACATGTGAATTCATCTAAGGGGCCCCTCTCGTGTAAAATAGTTCGTGATTACAAAGCAATTCTAATGCCTCTCGACGGTTTGAACCATTAAGCTTGTGCAGCCAATGAAAAATTTGGCACGAATTTATTTTTTGTTCTTCCTGTTCCATCCAAGTCCCAAGGCCATCACCATTGCTTCACCAAACGCATCAGCTTCTTTTCTCTCATCTCTTCTCGAATCTAATGACTTAGTTCCGAAAATATAGACAAATTCGTAATTTTGTAGAGCCTCTCTTGGTGCGAGTTTCTAATTTCTCAATCTACCGGAAAGAGTCCGGCTGGAAACTTGAAGACTCGTAGTGAGTTATTGTACAATTATGCGTCATGCGGTATTGAGTGCACGACTTATACTACAATACTGCTCTGGGTGCCCATAATGCTGCTTCGTATCTTACGATTCGCAGAAATTTGCTCTTATATATTATTTCACGCATTATTTTTGTTAAGGTTTATCATCTGATTTATGCTTTTTACTATATAGATGAAATTTTAAACTCATTGAACATAATTTTGTAATTGGACATAAATGTACGAGTAAAGCCTAGCTCACTGGGTCGGCACAGACGGACAGAAGGACGGGACGAACACGATTTTTTAAAAGTTGATTACATTGATTTCCGTACGGGGACGCGCACTAGGCCGGCACGGACTAGACGGGACGACCCGCACCTTCCACCGTTGCAAAACGTCCGAAGGAAAGACCTTCTGGACATCCCGACGTGCCGATGACGTCATCCATTATGTTGATCCAGAATTCTCCCGAGTTGTACAGCCTGATATTAAGTTTTATTTGAAGTATTACCTTGTAGGAAGTGTAATTTGATTAGTGAGCTAAATCTGAATCAGGGAGTAACATTTACCAAATTTCTAGGTATTCATAAGACGCAGTGCAGTATTGGTGAAACTTGCTACATTTGCGCATGGTGAATAAATTATGCCATGTTTTGGAATGATGCATTAGTTCATTAATCAATGTATTTTTTGTATGTTTCTTGCGTAAATTATTGTCTTATCAGTGCCCATTATTTTTGTTAGTTTCTAAATAAAGTAATGCAATTATGAGTCCGTCTCTTGGTTCAATTTAATTGTGTTACCAACATATTGTTTATCTTATATTTTTAAAAATATCCAATTAGCTTCAAATTGATCGTGAAACACCCTAAAGGACTGAAATAATTTTTCCTCTTCCACCAGGTCGGAATATAATATGTTAAATTCCCTTTCTGTCATTATCGTTCCGTTTAGAAGAGAAGAAAGTTGGGACTTTCTTCGACTTCTTACCTAATTTCCTTCTTCTGCTATTGAAAATGAACACAGTGCGATTGCTTCTTTACTTAAATTAGCGTGAGAACTTCGCGCACAATACAAGACACGGAGCGAGGAACCAAGTTGACTCAGAAACTGTGCCCGTTCCTTCCCGTCTGTCCGCGCCGTACCGATCCGGTGCGCGCGTGGCTAAAATAGTTAATCAGATTCGCAGATACTATCTCATAATCTCGTTACTTATATCGTTTTTTCAATTGTTTTCAAACGTCGAGGACGTCTTACATGAAAATGAAACACTATAAATAATACATTCTTATTACTTAATTAATGGACTTAAAATTATATGATTTGCACCACTTTGAAATTATATGGGAAAGGTTCGGCGGACCGTTTCTCCAAATCCTTATAGCTTTTCTGGTACGACAGACAGATCACTCACGTAAACTGCCGTCTGATTCTCTTAACACAGACGTATGTCAAGGAGCCGTCTTATAGAATATCCTAATGGATGGAATGGAATATCTAAATACAGTAATGAACAGACAGAAGTTTTTAAAAAAATAGCACTCATTCATGGAAACTAGAGCTTGTCTTCACTGTTTATTGTTTGCTAAGTGTTACTCTGCAGTACACGTACGACAAAGTAGACTTTGGCGCACGCGCACCGCAAAAAAGTCATGGTCATATAAAGAGTTTTGCAAAGGAAAGACAAAACTGGGGCGATATGACTCAACGTGCCTGCCTCCTCGCGCGTTAAGAATGATCCCGAAAGTATATACTTGTAGATTCAATGAACTCTTACGAAAGGGCTTAATCGTACTCATTTCAAAATGAAAGGCTCGTTTCCCATCATCGACTCGTCCGTCAATATTCCATTCGTACATTCAAGATTAACTTTTTTTCTATTTACGCGAATAACTGATTTGATATCATTGACCTACAAAATGTGCATTTTCGTTAACATATCTATATTGATTTTTTGAGCTATACATATCATACTGTATTACGTATACACTCCCTACATACTCTTACACGACAAAACTGAAAATGGAACATCTGGACTGCAATTGTGATGATTTTTCCTTTCTAGCCCATACTTCATTAGAAGAGAACGTATTGTAATTGAGCACCGGAAACAACCATCGGAAAAACTTTTATTTTCTGACCCTAGTAACTATAAAATGGATACATCAAGTTCCCATATATATTAAATTACTTCTCTGGCATCAGAACGGGAATTGACTGGACCGTGTCGATCATCAGCCGCGTAGCAGGAATGAGGTTCATGACCTGTACAAATATATTTGGAGTACAACGCCCCCGATTCGGTTTTCCGAATTAGGAGAGAGTCATAAAGTATCGACACCTCAAATGGACCCCGACACCATTCTATATGCGGTGCAAGTCCCTGAAATTAAAAGCCGTCTGGCTGGGATGAAAAATGTCACGACTTCAGGTCCAGATAAGATCAATGTTAGCCACATATCTTCAAGTCCAATAATTGAAATATTGTCTCTACTGAACATCCAAATTGTATACAGTGGCTTTGTACCCTCTGGGTGGAAAGCTAATCGCAGCGTCCTTATTGCAAAAGAGGGATAATAATGGACAAAATCGCAATACGTTTGTGATTAACTATCACCCCATCTCGATTGGTTCTCTGCTGTGTGAAGAAACTTTTGTGGCGTTGTGAACAAACGCATCTGTAGTAACGTTCAACACACACCAAAAGAGGTTTACCCCCGTACCAGGCTGTTTCGCTAATATCCAAATTCTCCACGACGCTGTCTGTGACATGAGAAAAGCAGGGGATGGGGTGTCGTGGGGTATTGTGCTGTATAAATCCAAAGCATTGGACACAGCTCCTCACGCGACGCCGCGGTGGACTCGGTCCAGGAAAAGGTTGCCCGACCCCTTTCCCAATTTAGAAATGGACTTACTCGCTTCCGTTTCCACCGTATTTCAGTCCCCTCGAAAAGCACTAAGGTTTTAATTCATAGAGAAGTTAAAAAGGGAGACCCCTTGTCCCTACGCCTTTTACTTTCTCGTATACGTATGTATATACGGAGTAAGACACGTAGTATAGATAGAAAGTTACGTAATGCTGCGGCAAAAAACGGCGATCTTTCGACACAAAACCCTGGTACAGAAAAATTAGATAAATTCTGTTCTAATACGTAGTAAATTACTCCCTCTAACTCGTTATGAAGTCAGGGTTTGGATCGTTGATATCGAAAAAGTGTTGTTTTTTTTCAAAACGTCTGTCTGTCCTTCTGTCCGTCCGTCCGTCCGTCCGTCTGTGAGCACCACTAACGCCTAAATAATACGTAGGATTTTTTCCAAAATGGATATTCCCGGACAATCTGTCTGTACTCTAACTTTTCACATTTTGAAAAATATTCTTTAAAGTTTGGGGGTACTTTACATGAAGCCCCTGGGACATTTTCAAAAGTTTCCAAAAAAAGTCTCCGTCGTTCTAAAAAATCAGATCTTTAAAAAATGTTTTGTATAATTTTGAGGACTGACGAGCTAATTCGATGGAACTGAGTTCTACAGTAGGCGCGGTGAAAAAAGTTTTGATTGTTTGGAAACACTATTACAGGTTGATGTAGAAAAATAATACCTCGGAAACGTTCCAAATAATGCGAGAAAGTGTGTGCTCTTCTAGCTTCACTAGTTTCTAGTAAGCATCACTACTTTCGAGTACAGTTATAGACATCTTCCTTGGTTGAAAATATGTTCCCACCTTTGACTCAAATCGCGAGATTCTAGAACATTTTCCTTTGGGCGAAGCGTCAGAAAACACGCACGACTGAATGACACGACACGACGCGTACGTCGTGCTGTGACGTGCAGAGAAGGTGGCCATGCTAACGTATTCATTTTCGCATTTCTAACGTCAACAAACGTTTTCCTGATGAGGATCGTGTCTCCTTAGGGAAAGGAATCGTTAATGAAATCAATACATCATTAGTCTTGGCGAAGAAAAATAACAACAATAATAATAATAATAATAATAATAATAATAATAATAATAATAATAATAATAATAATAATGACAACAACAAAAACAACAGATGGCCGAGATCGTCTGAAGGCAGTAGTGTCGTAGAGGCCCCAAATCAGAAAATCACGCGTTCGAATCCCGCCTCGGTCATGGGTGTGTTTGTGTACGTCTGCATGAGTGTGTGTTGTCCTTTCATCCGTCACTATCATCATTTCATCTTCCATCAGCATTTAGCTAGATCCCATGATAGAATTACATGCACTTGCCACCGAGATGTTATTGAGCCCCGGTAAATGCAGGGTCATTCTCGCGTGATCGAAGTCGGCCAATTCATGAGCAAAATAATAATAATAATAATAATAATAATAATAATAATAATAATAATAAATACCCTGATGAAGGACATTCATTATAAAGCGATTAGTAGACTTGCGGTACCAGTTTTCATATAAATGAAAAGCAGTTAAATATCATTACTATTCACATTATCACTGAATTTTCTAAATTTACGTTATAAATTTGGTGCTTGTGAGCATATGTACAATAAAACAAATATGCGAAATATCGCTGATCAGCTGAATTTTTTCTCTCGCTAATTGGTCATCTCGGGACCAGACAAACGTGCAATCCATCCGGACTCAGTCATATTTATCGAAGTTAGGTGCACGTGACTTTAATAGGGGGGCAGCATTTTAATGCTGAATCCGTTTTTACACAAACATACAGAGACACACAAACACAACCGTGCCTGACGCGGGACTCGAATCCGCGATCCATCGGTCCAAAACAATACCTTCTCTTAATAGTAGGAAAAGAACGTATTGTCCAAGACCGCCATGACACTACTGTCTTAGAGATTTCGGCTACCCGGGTGGGCGCTGAATTGTAGAACATAATAGAAATATTTAGATATAATTAACATACCGTCTGTTTCACGTCGGATCCCAGCACTTGGGCCCACACTTTCCCTCTCAAGCAACGAGGGCATCCTCGTTTCAAAAATTCTTGTGCAACAGGAGCATGGTTTGAAGCTATTACTGAAGAAAAAAACAATCGTAACATTTTCATAATTTAGAATATTAAAATCACAACAACGGACCAACCTTTCTCTCCCAGTGCGGTTCTTTCTGCTTCCAGTGTCGGAAAATTACTTGAAGAGGGCATGTGGGGATTTACACCAAGAAGTGGTTCCCCACGGGCCAAATCCACATACAAGTTTCGCTATTAGAGCAAAAAATATGTGATGTGATGTGATGTATGAAAAATAACAACTTAAACGTTAGAGAGAATTATCTCGACGCGAAATAAATTTCAAGATTATGATAGTGATGTTAATGATGCAATGTTACAATCTGTACGTGAAGACTTACCAATTCAGCAAATGATTTAACTTTCAAAGGAATCTGAGTAAAATCCCACGCACCAGAAGAACTAAAACACAAATGAAACCATGCATTATTTTCAATGCAGAAATTACTTAAGATGAAAGGAACTCTAAGTGCATTTTAAGCATTTAATAAATAAAATGCTCAGTATGTCTGGGCGAGCATGGTTACGGTTGCATAAGGTTGCCACTTCTCCAGTTTTATGTATGTGACATTTTCGATCTCCATTTTTATTGTATTTAACATATTCATGGTTTTAATAAAACTATTAAAATTATATAAACAAAAAATATGTCGGTACAATTTTGTCTGGAAAAGAACAGTATAATCGAAATACTAAAGATTGTAATACGTAGTAATACATCTCATTTTAATCATGAGTAAAACAAATAACCCTGAAACTGTATTACATAATGTAACTGTTATAGCTAATCGGAAATTATATTAATTGAACGTTTATTTACTGTGTCTATATCTAAAGAGTAGAGTAGAATTAGAATTGTTTAACAATTTTCATGTCTTTTTTGTTATAAACACGTTATAAACAACTCAATTTTGATTTTCTCTCATCAGATATATTTGATCCACAAAACACTAACTATCCAAGTCTGTAAAAAAGAAGAAATCTAATAAAATAAGCCTAGAACACAAAAAACCTACCAGCGGTAGTAGTATGATATCGTATTTTCATCCAGCGAAAAGCAGATGGCACCCAAGTCACTGGGATCAGATTACTGTTCCTTGGTATTTGTTATGGTTCATTGGTAAGAGTACTGTGGTCCCCTTTACATCTATGTTAAACAAACTTTATTTCATATGTCTGAAGTGACTGTAAAGTGAGATTATCTTTCGTCATTCCTTTATGTTTCACAATACATGCTGACATTCTATAACATTTTTAGTATAAAATAAAACGTGCCGGTAAGATATTTATTCTATTATTTCCTTAAAACATTATTGTAGCTGGAAAGGCGTCGTGAGAGAGATCTAAACCACTGTAGTCGGAGAGAAATTATTAGAGTTCGGGACGCTAGAAATGAAAAACAAGAGAAAAATAACTAGAAGACGGAAAAATAACCAGAAATGTGAGAATGCTATAATATACGAACATTAGAGAAACTGGCAAGATGAAATCTGCTTCTTGATCAATAGATGTGGAAAAATGGAAGTAGAGTCTTGTTTTGCGTGCTCTATGTACTCACGAACGACAGGTTCACGTTTCCTAGTAAGTATAAAGTTATTTTTATTGATTCTGAATTACCATAAAATGGTAAATATCTACTGGAAGTAACATACTATATCTTCATCCTTTTGGAGTCAAATAAGACATTTCACTCGTAATTTTGAATCATGTTTACGTTAAATTATTAATTTAAATGTAATAATCGTATTTAGTAAGGATTTCTAATGGCATTAAGACAAAATTGAATCATTCTAGAAAAACGATTTAATGGGCACCATTTTTTAAACAATACAATTATTTTTTTTAAATATCGAACATTAGAGATTCGTCGAATAAGCAATAATGTTTTTCAAACAAGAGTAGTTAGGTCACCCCGCCACGCCACTGATTTGGTCGTCTCCCCTCCCCCTCCTTCCCAACCGCCACACACAACCTTGCCTCTCCCACCCCGACTACGCACCGCCCGCTCGCCGAGCGCACGCAGCTGTTCCACAATACCTACATGCATTGCGGATTGCGTTAGATCAAATTTCGTAACAAAAAAAATTATTGATGGAATTTCGCCTTGAAGTATGATGTTCTTTAATGCAGCAGTATAGAAGATTTCATAAAAATAGGATTAACGTACGTAAATTTTTTGCACTATGTACAGGCGTAACTACATATCTACATTAATGTTACTTTCCCGTATGCATAGTACACTCTTGCCGCAAATAGTCGATGTGGCGATTATGATGGAAATGCACGTTTTGGGGGCCCCTGATATCCAAAAGGCGTGCCCGTCTCCCCATCCGTCTGTTCGTGAACGACACTATTGTCTCCACCGCACAGAATTGTCACAGAAAGGGAAATTCCCCAATCGATCTAACTGCTGTCGCGGCTCCGATAATTTTAAACGAATCTCTTTTTAGATACTTTACATTAGGACATTTCCGATTTTTTCTCAAAATAGCGTCACTTTTTTGTTTAAACTTTTTGCTCGAGTAGAGAAAAGTGCGGTTATAAACGCTGCTCAGGTTGGTTTTTCAGAAAAACTTTTACAATTTTGACAACTGCAGAAATTTTATAATTGCTTTGCCTCCTCCTACAACAGTTTTGAAGACAAAGAGTTTTTACTTTCTCGCCCTTACTTTGTAAGAAGAGGAAGTATTGTATTCGCGCGCCGGAAAATGGCGATTTTTTTCGAATGAAATATCTTCTTCAAATTTGATAATTCAATGAATTTAAAAAGAATGGGAAAGGTTTTGGATCACAATACATCTGGAATATTTCATAATTATATCAAAATCAGTCAAAGCTTCTGGTTTCGACATGTATGTATCGTATTTGCAATCTTAGGCTCGGATTAATCCGACTTTTGCCAACTAGCGGTCTCCCCAGGCCTGGGCCCTGTTCTCATTTATTATCTACATCTGGAGGTAAGGTAGGCATGTCACGTATTCTAGTTTCGACATGCCTAGTAAATTTGTATTAAAGACGGTCAATCGCATACGCACTGTCCGTGGAAGATGCGGGTTCACTCTTGAAGTGTGTGTGTGTGTGTGTGGGGTTGCCCTCGCCCGACTGTGATTGTGATGCCCTCAATCAGTAGGGCATGTGGTAGAGATCCGATTACCCGGTGAATCCATCAGAATTACTGCATTTAACACCAACTGCAATTGATTGGATTAGAAAACTCAAGATTTCTCTTTCATGTGTTTCAAGAATGTAATTTATAGTTTTCATTTCTAGATAATTTGTGAGTTTTCTTATTGTAAATTGTACTGTAACTTTTGCCAAAGATATATAAAATGGATTATTTAAATGATATCATAAATATTTTTTCAAAATATCAGTCGATTTCGGTTAATTTTGGGCGAAATCGTGTAAATTCAAAATATGCGTAAACACGACTTTCTCAAAAATACTCCATTTTAAAAAAAGTTTCTCTCGACTATAGAAAAGATAGCTTAATAATATGGCATGTTAGATTGTCACTAAAATATCTGAAATTTCGGAAATAACAAATTGTCAAATTTTACTTTTTCGTATTTTAAAATCATCCTACTATAGAATATAGAGGCTTTCAAATTCAATATATTTCTTTTAAACCATATCGCGTACACTATCAGGAGAAGTTCCAAAACCAATCAAACAAACAATATAATATTAGATGCAATAATATAATACTACATTGTCGTTAACGTTAAAGAAAGAACGCATGTGGTTGTTAAAGCACCACTAGTTTCTGATGGTCGACTATATTCTCAAATGTCATCTTTTTGGATCAAATCGACACAGTATGTAATAAAACATTAAATAGTTGAATGAATACATTTGCATGGAAGAAAGTCTTAGATGGTATATAGTGGCGGATCTAGGGCGGAACATAGAAAAAGATCTATGAAAAATAAAAATTAAGTAACACAAGACAAAATCGTATTGTTGAAACATAGTTGGTCCAAGTATTAGCTTTGTTGTCTTCAATGGTTCTTCTGGCTACAGCTATAGTTTTCTTGTATTCAATTTTATTTTCAAGGGTGCCTTTTTTGCTTTTCTGCCCATCATGAACTCAGTGCCCTACCACCATTCGCCATTCGGTTCAGGTTGAACCGACCGGGTGTCGGTGTCTAATCATAGAAATAGGGAGCACGAATGAACGTGCGCCTCTGCATGTGTCTGTTCCGATCCAAACGTCAAACGCTGGTGGTGCGCTCTGTTCGCAGAACGTCCAACTATACGAACGTCGAGCATTAATGCATGAACGAGGACGAAGTCTTAAAAAACGCCATCAGAGCGAAGCACTTCCCTGTCAAAAGATGCCCTCTTGCTCTTTCTGCATATGTGCATAGATGAACACTATGCATCCATTGTCCTAACTAGGTGAGGGGGAATCAGCCCGCCCCCTAGGATGTCAATGAACCCCACTCAGGAAAAACACCAATGTTTGTAATTATTTTAAATTGTCAGGCATTATTCATCCGAAAAATAGGTAGCACTAAATGATAACATGACATTTTGAAAACATTAAATTTTCCGTTTTTTTGTAAGTTCATTGGGATTGAACATTTGAGGATGTGATATCTATTCGTAGCGTTGTTGGCATTTTCTTAAACCCGTAACCGTTCTATCCGGAAAGCTCGTGATGCTTTGGGATAATAGTAAATTCGATGACAAAATAGGTCGTTTGAGTAGTTCCTTCTGTGACGAGCTGTCCTTAAGAAAATTGTAAATCCATGTTAAATATTCGAGAAATATCGGCTTCATCATTGCCATGCCAAAGTTTCATTGCCGTATAAACAGTTTCCATGCCATTCGAATTAGTTGAATCTCGCAGTGCTACAAAAACACATACTTTTTAGCATTGTTTCAAAATTTGCAATTTTCGATCATTTAGAGTGTTCAACAAAGATGAGACCCCAGCGCAATTATTTTAAGCGCCCCTTCTGTCCGAGAAAAAAATTGAAGAAAAAATTTGGACCGGTTTTTGAGATTTTTTTTAACTTCATAAATTTCAGACACAAACTATGGGAAATCTATCAAAAAAATTGTACACGACCTTTTTTAAAAAGCACATTTTTACAACAGACTTAGTCAAAGGCCAATAACCTGTCGATCGGCACCGGATCTCGCCTTTCAGCTAAGGAAGATCACGCCATTCAGCTAACAAAATTCGCAATTTTTCGACGTATGATTACAATATTTTTTCTTTATATGAAGTGAGAAGTATGAAATAATCAAGTAAGGCGAGAAAGAATTTATGCAATGAGAGGATAAAGTTTAATAAGAAAATTTGGGGCCATTTTTGAGAAAATTTTGAAAATGATTTTGAGACTTCATTTAAAGTTTTCTCAAAAATCAAAATAACTGTTTGAAACTCCCGA